GAAAAATAAAATTATACGGAACGCAGTAAGTTTTTTGCTCATATCGGCTTTGCTTATTGAAATTTTGGAATTTTTAATGACGACTGTGTCCTCTGCAATGGATTTGAGATTTGCCATGGAATATAAATGATAGATATTATACTAGGTACGTGAATAAGATGAATCCACGGATATCATATAGGTACCGCAACTTTTTATGTCAAAGAGTTCCGTGTTAAGGAACAATATTTGTTCGTTGAAATTTTATATTATGACAAAAATCAAAATAGTTTATAATTTTGAATTTCAATTATAATAATATTAAATATGATATATTTTAATTATTATTTTCGTTTCTTAATTTAATTATTTATTAATATGGTGAATATATATCAGAAGTACAAGCATATTTTTATAAAAGCATAATATTGTATTTTAAAAATCATTAAATGAAAATGTGATTCCTGGATTTTAGAGTTAACATGAAGATATACAGTACCTAAGTACATTAAATTTACAGTACCTACCATAATACCAACTAGATTTGTAAAATTCCAAGTCTAACATTTTCTACGAATACTGCTGATCACAAAATTATTAATTATTATTTAATATTATGTTAATTTAATTGTGTCGGGTACCTTTAATTTATATTTTAGATTCTGATCGGAGCGATGAATATTTTGATTTTACTATGATGTGTATTTAATTTTTAATTTGTTTGTTATTATTTCTATTTTGTGTTTGATGCGTACACGATAAGTAGGTATAGTCAAAATAAACCTTCGTGTTCAATGCATAATATTATATTATAGGTACCTACTCTGTATGTAATCAATGATCATAGTTTTATTTTTAAGTTTCTTTGTATTTATTTATTTATTTATTTATTTATTTATTTATTTATTTATTTAATATAAACGGACGTGAGTCCTAAAACATAATAATATTACATTGTGAGTGAAAAAACACATTAATACTTAAACAATAATTAATAGGGGACGAGGTGGCCGAGCGGTCTAACGCGTCGACTGCGGCGCTGGCAGTCGCGGGTTCGCCTCTCGACCACTGGGCGGCATTTTTCTCCGGGCAAGTCACGGTGTCCGGAGTACAAGTGCCGCCATCCCCCAACCCGGGGCATGGCAGAAACCTACGGGTGCCCCAATAAAAATTCTGCCACCACAAACACACACGTGTACCAACCTACCCAATCTAAAAAACCTACAGTTCCCTACCAACACCCAATGGCCTATGTTGCCGCGGGTTATCCAATAAAAAAAAAAAAAAAAAAATAATTAATAGTTTCTACTTAAAATTAGAGAAAGAATAAAATAATAATGCTAAATTAGAAATAGAATACAAATCAAATATAAAAATTATTATTTAAATATAATCAAAGACAAAAGTATTACCTGCAGTCATAAGAAGGTTAGCAGGAGAGTTCAAGAGATAATTTTTTGTTGAAAAAAGTGGATAAAAGGGTTTTGGATCTCTAGTATTAAGGTAATTAATTTTAAAACGGACTAAAGAGAGAATTTCAGGACAATCTATTGAACCTAAAATTAGTTTTTGTAAAAATTTAGAGAGTAAAAGTGTACGACGGTCAGACAGTAGAGAAATATTAAGAAAATTTAAAACATTATTATATGAGCCGTGGACAGGTCTGTTTATGTTAAATTTAAAAGAGATAAAACGTAAAAAATTATTTTGGACAGATTCCAGCGTAAGAGCCTGTTTCGACGTACTATTTATCCAGATGAGGGGGCAGTACTCTAAATTAGAACGGACAAGAGAGAAGTAGAGGATTTTTAGGGGAATAGGATCTTTAGTAAATAATAATATAGGAAATTGTGTTTTCGAACATTAATTTTTTGTTTGTATCAAATACTTTCACCATAATAGGGAACTAAAATTGTCATTTATCGTTAAAACAACAAATTTTGTGAAAAATTCAATTTTGGTAGGTAAGTGTTTTGTGTAGGCATAATAAATGTTACATTAAAATTTAAAAAATTCAAAAAATTACATTAATTGGATTATTAATTAGAATATAGGTACCTACTACAGTTTCCAGCTTCTACTACAACATTACGTTATATTATGTTTTTAATTATGAAAATGCTTAAAAATAAAACGTAAATCCCAAAATAATATGAAATTATGAAAACAAACTTACCCTGAAACATCGACTCTCCCGGTGAAACCTAGCTAGAGTGCATCATCAACAACGCAAACGTCCAGTACGTGACGCCACCGAAGAAACAGCTATCTTCATCTCGTTACGAACTGTAACTTGAAATTATCGAAATATTTTATGAAAATTACCTGAACATAACGAAATGTGCGAATTCGTGTTAAATTTACATAATAATATATACGGCTTAACGAACTATCTGTCCATATTGATGGCTTATTATTTTTTTTTCACTAAAATTATGAGAATTGTTAATCGTCGCAGACGAATGTCGACGATTGGCGATTGCCATAGATGATATAAAATATATTTTTTAATATGATAAATCCATAGAACTTCTACACTCAGCACATAAACGGTCTATTGATAAATCGTTTGTTCTTTTACAGAAATGATTGTGGTCTGCAATGTAAATGCAGTTTCATTACTAAGAATTATATACTTGCTAGCATGAGTCAACTACAGGGGCGGATTGGGGAGAGATTCCGGCCCGGGAAAATACAAAGTATACCGGCTTACCAATTTACCAAATATTTAATTTTAGCCAACATAATATTATTATGTATTACTATTTTAACATAACTACACGTTTGGCAAGATATGACATTTATAAAACTTTATTCGTAGTGTATATATACATCGATATCAAATTTATTTTTATTTTTGAACAGTTTATGTTTACACATTTATAATAGTCCAAACTCCAAGTACTTATATATAACACAGTAAAAGTGAATAATTTAAATTACTAATGTTACGATTTTTGTATTTAATAAGAAAGGTTATTACCTATTCAATAATATTTAATAATGCGTTTTTAGACTTAAATAAAATCTTATAATTTACTTCCACTTAATATACCTGATAGGTAAATTAACAGAATCAACATGCAAAATGTATGTGTTTTTTTTTATTTTCTAAAAAAATGTTTTACTGTGGTTTATTCATAATAACATTATGTAGGTACTTCAATTCTAAACAATCAGAAAAATTGTATAGTCTTGTTTTCCTTTAGTATTATTATGTAATATAATATTGAGTAAAATGTTTTGTCTCCGTCTTAGTACAATCTAACAAATTATCGTTCACTATCTGTATTCACCGATCAGCCGAAACGATATAATAATAATATTTAGCTGTAGTAACTAAATATTATAGAAATTATTGTATACCTACGTAATGTTACTTCCCTATTATTCAATAATTTATAAATTCGCCTAAACGATCGGTTAATTTCTGACCAAATGATATATGCTTTACTCAAGGTTAATTTTGGATTATTCGCCCAAACGAATGACGCTCAAATTTTGTACACCCGAAATACGTGTACTACTGTATTAGTATACTGAATTAAAAAATGTATAAAACAATTTTCGGAAATTCAAACACTGTTCAAAAGTTACAGCAAATCATAGTTTTTGAATACTACAGTGCTTACTGCTCAAATCAGGTTGACTTTTTCTATTTTCTACTTCCACGGGATGTCAAGTAAAGTAGACTTTTTCCGAAGTTTGTCGTTACCTAGAGATCACCCAATGTGGTTTTACATAACATATCAAGGGTTGTTTTCGATTTTAACTGTCCTAACTAGTGACCCCGCTATATTACATTTGCTGTTTTTGCTTTTCGAAAAATACTATATTTTTGCTTTCTGTCTCTCATCGTTGCGCCATCATAGATTGCCTACCTGATATACCTACTATTGCATACTGTCCGCAATCCAATTCGTATTATCTTATTTTGAAAAATCGGGAAAAAAATGCAAATTTACTGGGCTGGTACCTAATAGGAATTTAAGAATACATAGTTATTTGAAAAAGCGGCCCACCGGGAAAACTCCCGAATTCCCGGTGGCCCAATCCGCCCCTGGTCAATTAGTCTAATTTATTCATACGTACCTAACAATAAATTAGTAGATATACAATCTACCACACTAGGGTAGTAGGGTTCAAATTCTGGGGGGCTACATCCCACCTAACAAAACTGTTAATTAAAAATACCCATAGGGCTTATATCTAAACCAATAATTGATAATTTTGGGCTGGCTAAATCATACTCAGGGGACTAACCGTCCCCTAAGCCCTGCCACGTTGCACCATCTGGATTAGAGGCTACTGTGAATACCACGAGAAACATAAATATTAAATGATCACTAATTATTCTCATTGATAATCAGTTTTTATAATTTTATTAAACATAATACAATATAGGTATACGCATTCTAAGCATACACACTACGCAGCCAACCTAAAATAAATACATTGTTATACTTATAAGAAATTATAAAAATATTTTTAAAAGTGAAAAAAAATATCAGGCATTTCTTATGTGAAATGCCTACTCATTTGTTCTTCATTCACCGCCTCATATTATTAAATTTACTTATTGTACACACATTGGTTTATCAACAACCAATGATATTTTTTTAGCTACATATTATACCTTCAAAAACATGTTGAGTACTCATGACTTTTTTATTATAAAAATATTTATAACACTTAATACATACAGTATTTTATGCTCAGAAATATATAATTTTCAAAACGTTAAACATAATTACAATTTACATTGTATAATATAAAAAGGGATAAAGTATATTAGAAAGGCTTGGGAACATAACTTTTAACAAAATTAAAATGTTTTCTCAAAATAATGTTATTTATAAATAAGTTAAAATTAAAATAGATAAAATGATAATACAATAAATTATCAATTTAAAGTTTAAACATGTTATGTTATATTATATTTTTGATTATAATATTTAAATATTCTAATGGGATCTAGCAATTTCTGAGAAATACTGTAATAGATCTTCAATGGAAAATTCTCATGAAATCATGGAACCAGGATAGCACCTTTGAATTAAGTCCTCAATATATTTATATTGTTGAATGAATTCTTCTTGCATAGCTCTCCAAACCACCTGAAAAAAATTTTAAATTATAATATAGATTAAATTACATTTATTTTATTATAAAGGTAAAAAAGGTAGGCAAGTGTGTGCCGTTCTGCTGTACAGTGGATCACTGTAATGGATGGTGTTAAATTTGAATTCAATGATATAATATCATTGTATATGAAAAACGATTCTGAGCGAAGACAGTCAGTCAGCCATTGATATTACTAAGTATATTTGATGATATTATTGTAAATTCAGTAATTTATTTACCTATTTACGTGGAACCTTATTATAAATTTTCAATCCTTAGCTATAAAAGTTGAATATTTTGTAAATTTTTAACTACAACATAATTTTTTAATTTTGACAAAATTCAAACTTTCAATGGTTGTGAAAAAAAATTGTGTATATGAATTTTTAATATTTTCAACTGCTAAAGTAACTAATATATCAGGAACCTTGAATTAAATTTTCATACTTTTTGACTCAACAAATAAAATCGTATTGACTATTATAGAAAATAAAACAAAAAATTGAAAATTGAAAATAGCCGTAAACAGCTCAAAACGAATCAAAAGATATTGAAAGTTTTATGGTGTATAGAAAATGTCAATATAAATATTCAATCAAAATCTATGTATTTATGCTCATTTGTTTTCGAGTTACACCAAAAACCAAAATCAATTTTGTCAAAAACCGATTTAGCATAAAAATTTACGTTTTTTTTTTTTTGTTTTTTGTTTTTCTGGCGTTTTTGAAAAATACTGGTAATTTTAAATTTTGACATCCTTGATGCAATGCACCAACTAGATTCACTTTTCCATCAAACAAGATACTGAAGTTGAAAATCAAAGCATTATTTCAACTACTTGTAGTGTACACACACAAACAATAAAAAAATTTAAAAGAACACATCATTGTAAAATCATTCCTGCGGTCAGAATCCAAAACAAAATTGTTTAGTCTTGGGTATATTAATCAGTACAAAATATAGTTAATGCAAATAAGAAAATAATATTGTGGGTTCAAAAATAATCAAGGGCTTATCGCTTATGATGAATAACAAATAATTATATAATTACATAATTAACAATTAATAATAATTACTTGTAGTAAATTTTCTTCTTCACTAAGGTGTTTTTCTACTTTTTTATATAAATGATCTAAGCCTTTTTTCACCCCTCGTCCATGATACTCTCCTACTACTTTCCTTAATATTCTTGTTTACTGAAAGCCACTTGATAACCAACTTCTGATTCTTTTATACCTTGTGAAACCTTAGCTTCAACACATGAAAGTTCTCTAAATCCATGAATGAACTATTAGTATTAATTTAGTTAAAATTTAAAACTATTTATGGTTCTTACCCATTCTGATAACTTCGGAGGGAGTCTTAGGGTGTTCACTGGCAATTGAATGAATAGTTTCAAACATTACAGTTAAGAGTTTAAGATACCATTTATCTAAATCAGTTCGACGCTCTGTTTCTTTAAATATTTGTTCAGCTGTCTTGGCAAAATACTACAAAAATTAATAGTAAACAATAAAAAAAATTATACGACAGCTTTAAAATTATGTCAAATTAACAACAAAAATTACAAACAATATTGTAGTTACCTCAAAGTTGGCAACAAAAGGAAGTATGCCACATTTAGACTTTTTGATAATTCTTACTTCTTGAATTGATTTTAAGTGAGCGTGCATGAGTTTATCATAATTTCTTTTTACATGAACTAATGCAGACCCATAAGTCATACTTAAAAAGGAGCCGGTATCATTAGCAGACATAACATGACGGCCCAGTCTTACTAACACAGCCATTGAATAACTAAAATAATATAGTATATATATAAAAAATAAAAATAAAAAATATTTATATTCATAGTTACGTGCTATCCATTCTTTCATGATATTGAATAAATCCAATCAACTCTGGTTCTATACAAGCAAAAATGTCACCCATCATTTTTCTAACTTCTTCATTTTTTTATTTTTCAATTTTAGTCTTTGGTAAAGATGGTAATATGTCTTGTCATGTTTTTATAACTTACTTGAATAATTTCAATATTTATAATGTATACTTGGCCTGTAGAATTGTCTTAAAGAAAATCAAATTCTCAAAAGTGTTAGTTTTCAATTATTTTTTTCTATTTACTTAATATTATAATCATGTACCTTGAAGAATAAATCATTAATATATTTGTATTCTCTAGTAGATATTTCTCAACTTACTGTGAAAATTTAGTTAAAAATAAATGTAATATTATATATAAAATAAACAATTCATATTAACCTATGCCAATAATTAGGGTGTACAAATTATTAGTTTGTACCTATATGAAATTTTAGATGTTCACATATAGTTCAATAGAACTTTCTTTTGTATCAACTTGCCACTTACTTGTAATGTCTCGAAATGCAGATCCAATTGTCATAACAATCAGATCAATAGTGACTAGTTCTAAAATAACTTTTTGTTTATTTAGAAACAAAAATGTAGTCGATAACCGTATATTATCATAATTTTTATCAATTAGGTATGGGATTTGTTAAAATTACAGTAAATAAAAAAAATAATAATTTCAATGTAATTCCACCAAAATGTCTTATCCCTAATAGTTAGCTCAAAACAAGTTAAATTGTTTTAAAAATTGTATGGTGTACAGAAAATGCAAAAAAAAAAACTGCATTTCCTGATGTATTTGAAAGCACCTGGGAATTTTAAATTTTTACCTGTCATCCAACTAGATTAATTTTCCTTTCAGAAAATATACTGAAGTCTAAACTAGTTATGTGTTTCTTTGCAATTTAAATATGTTGAGGCCCTTTGTGTTATGGAAATTGGATTGTTTCTCAGCAAAATTGTATTGCCTAAAAAATTAAAAGCAAAGATATTTTTCAAGGTAGGTACCTTATAGAGAAGCACTAAGCATTTATTTGTATTTTATTTTTAAAACAAGTTATGGATATTTTAATACTGAATGATAGGTAGGTATAATTATTTATTTATTAATTTATTTTGACTAAACGGGCTAAGCCCTTTCGATATACAAATTTATGTCCACGCACACAATTAGATATTATACAATGTGTCCAGTGAACAGGTGGGTATGTTAGTTAGTAAAATAGTACAGTAAAATAGCTTTAAAATAAAAACCTATTAACAAATAACAATATTCTCACCTTTAAGTTTCATAACTTGCTCCAATATGGTATGTATATAATTATCTTCAAGAAAGTCAACGTCTGAAAATTGTCAACACATTGGCTTGACTTCCTAGTTCCTTGTATGTGGTATATCATATATTTCAGTTTTGAAAACCATAATAAGTATAATCCACTGTGTTATCGAAATTATTTAA